TGGAACTTGCAGCAGAATGATAGGGCACAAGAAATGTTCGACCTAGAGTATCCAGCAGCGGATGAAGAGTACCGTACTCTCAGGAATCAACACTGGGAGGACCTTGAAAGGAAATGGAACTTGCAGCAGAATGATAGGGCACAAGAAATGTTCAAAAAACAAGACCTAGAGTATCCAGCAGCGGATGAAGAACACCGTACTGTCAGGAATCAATACTGGGAGGATCTTGAAAGGAGATGGAACGCGCAGCACCAAGGAACTCAGATTAATGTGCCGTGAAGATTTTTTCAGGTTCATCCGTCATCTCATAATAGGTTTGGTTCGAGGCTGCCAGCACAGCTCCGTAGTCGAATGTGAGCTGATCGTTGTTGTATTTTCTGGCACATCCTATTGATAAGCAAGACACGTGATTAAAACGTACTGGATTACAAGGATGGTGTTAACGAGTGAAAGGTAAACATGTATTGCGTCTATCAGCTGTGAAATACCATTGGATCCTCTGGCCGGAAGGGGTTTGAAATTTAATGCCGAAGTCCTGGTATCAAACTCAAAAGTCGGCTGTTGGTTCTGCACGTTGAGATCGAGCATAATTACATTCGGTATTACGGAAAGGGAAAGAAGTTCTGACACTGGAATATCTCTTGCTTATTTTTGGTCCCAGTTATTGTTAACTGCTGCCATCGCACGGACGATCGAACCAAAGTTGTTATTATTCGAGATCTCTCCATTATATGAGCATCCGGCTCACAAACTTAAAAACAGGTGTCTTTACCCCCCGTAGCCTACGATTGTTGAAAAGCATCAGCCGGACTTTCAAGAAATGTAGACACTATGAAGAAGCTTATCAGTCATATGATGCAAAATAGCGCAAAACTTTTCATCCACGAGAACTTATCACAGCAACTAGACTAAATCTTTCAGCACAAACAATCATATCACGATACCCTGACTGCTTCTATCAAACACTGTCCGAAGCTTTACAGCGAACAATCTTTGGTCAGCTTCCGGCATCCGGAGGCACAGCTGCGAGGCATTCTTAAAGAGGTGCGAGGCATTCTTAAAGAGGTGACGCCCTGGCTGCTTTACATTTACGCTACTCATTTACGCTCCCATCGCGATGCCAGCACATTTCAACAGAACACGGAAGCCTCTTGTCCCCACTAACCTTAATCCTCGGCTCAGAAGACTGAAACCAATTTCCAACCAGCTGCGGACCATCTTTCGTCGCCCTAGAGGTTTACACATCCCCAAAGAAACATGATATACAAACGCTTACATCAGACAGCCAGATATATTCCAAGAAATGACGCCGAAGCTATACTTATCGAGTGTGCTGAGATCGCACGCCTAGCAGCAGGGCCAGGTGCTCATCTTCTCTATTACATACGAAGAGAAATGCATCTTTATCATCAAATTGGCGATGCTAAATATCGACGTCAGGATCTGAAAGACTTTGCTAAACTGTGGGAAGACATAGCAATCTGTTGGATACCAGTAAAACGAGCATTTCGTAGATTTAGAACAGCTCGTCAATTTATTAAGAAATGGTCTCAGAAGTGCGAGCGCAAGGAAGTTCGATTGCAGTACTTGGTAGACGAGACTGATACCATATATCAACAGTGGATTTAGGATACTAACGCGCTTAATATTATGCATGACTTGGAGGATATTGAGAGAGTGTTGGTAACAACACTTACTGAGAAGATGCATAACTTCAAAACCCAAATTGACTGGGGCTGTCCATGTCCTAATCCAGACCACCCAGAGAAAGTTATAGCATCAGGACCTTCGTAGTTATGTATTCTAATAAAGAAAGTAATATTTTTCGCCTGGATTGAACAAGCAGAATTGAGCAGGCGGACAGAATTGATCGAAGACGAGCAGATCAACCAGGCATCGACGAAGCCGGCAAATCGTGACAAATTGAAAGACTCAACCACATCGTTCGAGCGGACGGTCGACATCATAATTGCATCCACAGTAGTGCTTCTCCACCGAGCCATCCTTACGCCTAACCAGATAGGTCGACGAATAGCAACACCTCCACCCACTCAATGACGCACCCGTTCGGATGCCTTGAAGCAGTCCTCGTTGGCTACATCTCTATCTTTATGGTGGTCGCAGTTGACATGCGCAAGAACTGGGTTGTCCGCATGTATCCTGGGTCTTGGTGGCGTGGCACCTCTTGGTCATGATCTTGACGCTGTCAATATTGGTATCGTGTGCGCGAGCAAGTTCTATCGAGATCAAATTCCTCTGCGCTTGGATAGCACCCGTACGGATGGAATGTTGTCTGCTCCATTCGCCTATCATAAACATCCAACAGGTAATCCCGTCCGAAGTGGCCCCATTCTAGTACACAACTCCTCCCGAGATGAGCTTGGATGACGATGGCAGAGTGTGGATGTGTTCACCATGGCTCTTACCGTAGGACTCATAGGTTATGCAACCGTAGTCCACGGATGGTGGATCCTCGGCGATGTACTTCTACCCAAGCGTACGCATGCTTGGCTCCGGATTTATGATTCGCATCAGAACAGCCAAAACCAACGAGCTGGCCTCCACATTATTGTCGTCGCTTTGGTGTTCGGGGATTGTGTCATCAGATGTGGAGGATGTTGCTGTAGTGCAACTGTCAAGAGGTAAAGAAGATCGCGTGAACATGTAGAAGGATATATGCAAATACATCATGTCTTCGAGCAGGCCCTCAACATCTCGGTTGCCAGCGGGGTTTTGATCAAACCCTTGAGACTGATCGAGGATGGTGAGAAGTTCATACTCCAAGCGCCGTTCGTTGACTCGATGGCGATCCACCACTGCGGTACTCTCAGATTCACGAACATTAGTTTCCCCTCGAGGGGACACGAGCCGAAGCGGTACACGTCTATGCTGTCCAGGATGGTGCCATTCTTCCAATATACAACCGAACCTCGTCTCGCCCTTGTGATTCAAATGAGGGTACAAGCTCTGCAGACGCCCACCCTATACGTGGAGACGCTACATCCGTGTCGCTGGGCGAGAGGAATCCCATCACGAGTTCATTTATGAGCACCATCGAAAAGACCAGCTCGGACAGGAATCCGGTCTCCCGTCCCGGGAAGTATGTAGTCGCAGCGTTCATCAACCGCACAAGAAACACTGAAGATGCCCTATCGAATCGAGGGAGTTCGCCGACTCAGGTATCAACCGCCCTGTAGGCCTTTGTAAGCTCCTTATTTTACCGCTACGCTCACTGGCACCTGTGGCGTATGGAGTCCTCTCTCAGCACTTTATTCACCACCAACTTAGGACTGTGAATAGACTATTGTATGCAGAAGAGGCTTAGGTGTTATAATCGACGCCCGAAGAGTCAGCGAAGGTGTTTCATGCTGGCAATCGCTGAGTTCTATATTCATAATGCATCCAATTACGATGACAACAACTACCGCAATCCCCAAGCTTTGTTTAATGACCCAGCTTCGTTTGATCCTCCAATTCTATCGAATGCCGCAGCTCCATCAAGTGCTGCAACTCCATCAAATGATGCAGCTCTATCGAATGCTGCAGCTCTATCGAATGCTGCAGCTCCATCGGATGCTGCATTAAGTGCTGTTAAGACTTTGGCTAGGAATCGAGGCCCTACTTCAATCAACAGATCCAGAAAGCGACCTAAATAGACCCGACCCTTGGTGAAGTAGTTCCAAAACATTAGGCTGTACGCACGTAAAGGAGCTTAAGGTTGACTTTCACTGTATCAACCACGGCCTTGAACACATCTAAGAAGACACTGAGTGACTGGTACAAGGACATTTAGGAGGAAATTCTAGTTGAGGCTGCGAGGCACTCGGATCCGGAGATAGGCACACGGCGGTGATCAGGTCTTTGATCTTGTCCTCGGCCCAAGACCAGGATATTCTACCACCGATAGCGTCGCACTCGCATACCTCACCGAGAACCTGCTCAGAATCCACACCTAGTGTCCAGATCCTGGACCAGTCTATGGCCATCGTTGTGGCCGACATCAAGAGGAGGTGCGCGTCCAAGAAGAACAACGGCCACCTACCCGACGAGATGACCGAGCCGAATTCCTGGAGAACGCCATGGCCATGCTGAGGAGCCCGTATGTATACATGGCTGTGGGCGTGGTGTTCGTCAACCCGTCATCACGGTACTGACCGGATCGTCACCAGGAAACGTCCTCATCCTCATGTACGAGACGGCGGCCGGGTTCATGCACGAGATGTAAACCATTCCACTGATGCCCGGGAACGAGCTGAAGCACTTCTTTATGGTTGTCTCCGCGAACGCGCCCATGCCTATGACCGTGAAAGAGAGTCCGAACTCATTGTGGATTCTTATCAAGTTGCCAAGCCACTCTGCGAAGTGGTACGACACCTTCATCCTCCTCGCGACCGTCTGTGTGGGTATGGGACCTGAGGGCCGTCGATTCGGCGGGGAACGAGGCTTCGTTCGAGAACAACGAGACGGCCCCGGAGATATCCGCGACGACGGAGATGAGTGGACACGACCAACCAGGGCAACTTCTTGCGCGGCCGCGTCCTCCGGCCGATACAGACACTGAGGTGAGGATCGAGGTCAGCAAGATGTCCTATATGATTGACCCTATGAATAAGACCAAAGCCCAGCAGGTCCTCGTGATTAAGCACATGACCAAGTCCGTCTCCGACCTCGTAGAGATGTTTAAGACAAGGGAGGCTAGTATCTCACCTCGGGAGGATGATGACCGCGCGCGGGAGCGAGGCTGATAAAGAGGAGATCACCGAGTTTGTGAACACGTTCAAGGAGACCATGACGGCCCTAAAGACAGCAGCAGCCGCGATTGCGACTGTGTCCGTGGTCATCAATGGGCACAGGGGCGTAATCGAGGCTGAGACCGAAATCGTGAGTACGATCAGCCCCGACGACGACGGCTCAACCGAGTTTATGGAGATGAGCTCGGTCCATGGCTGATAAGTTGGGCGAGGCCATAGAATGTTCCCCTCATGTGCGTATCCGAGTTCAGCGTCGACGGGAACAGTTAGTTTACGAACCCAATCACGGTTATGGTCAACCTTATGTTCACGTACGCGCTCGCGACCACGGTAGTTTATGTTGAAACTGTTGTGGATTTTCATGAAGTCTAGGCATTAAGGCGATAATTTTAAACATGACCTTAACCGCCCTTGCAGTGCCATCCCTCTTTATAACCGTCGCGTTGCGCTCCTCGTTCCACTCGATCGTGCTCACGTAGCCGAAGGTGTATAGGTAGTAGCACTTGTCGTACCACCCGCCGTTCGTAATCGCGATTGTCAAGCGGCATTCCGGGCGCCCTCTCGGCAACCAAGGGCGCGTAAGGTCTGTAACCCGAGATCGCAAAGCACCTTAGCTTTGACGTCTTATTCCTCATCCCGTTCATAGTCTCAGGCATAGACCCAGGCTTGTCGGCATCTCTGTTCGGGATAGTAATCCATGGGTAAGGGCACGTCAGCACGCACGCCTCCTCGTCTACATCATCATTCTCGATCTAGGAGGCACTTATAACCCACCCCATGTCCATGATCTGGACCAACTTCTATATGCTTACCTTGGAGTGAACAACGCAGATGATTAAATCCCTGGCCGGGAACGTGTCCCCGGTCTCATCCATGTCCCTGAACACGGATTTCGTCGTCCATAGCGTACGCGAGTATCTACCAAACGCGTAGGAACATACCGCCTAGTATGAGATAACGGACATGGACACGACGGTCGTGACGAATGGCCTCGAAGACGAGACAGCCAATATTGACGTCTTCAGGCAAGAGAGCAACGAGCGGATCTTCAACGACTACCCGTGTTCGGGTCCGATATTCAACGAGCTCTCGAAGCAGACCAGAGCCCTGATTAAGTGGACGATCATGAACAGGGCCGTGGCGGTCTACGGCCTACATCTACTGCAGGGACACGGCCGGGAGCAGATGCACTCGCCGACGGCCGCGAATGAACTGTGCTCGGTAATCGACCTTCACGCTTCCGTCAACTACGTGGCCTCCCTCAAAAGGTACTATTCGACCGTGAGCAGACTCGCGTTCCCGGTCTCGGCTCAAGCGCTTTCGTCATAATTAGGAAAGGAACACGGAATTGGAGACCACCATTATCGACAAGGATTATCGCACTCTTTGAATTACTACACGGTCAAATGCCCAACGCACTACACCATGTCGCAAGAAACAGTCGAGGACCCTGACATGTGGAAAGTATGTTGTCTCCCACGAACCTTGTTCTGCGGGATTAAGTGCTGGAACTTCAATGATAACGCAGATGAGAAAACATCCCTAGTGTGCTAATTATTATTAGAAGGTAAAAGAGGTCAAATATGTAGCCGCGGACAGCTTGCTGACTCAAGCCGGTCCCTCAGAGCTTTGCTTCTGGTTTCTTGAGGCTAATTAACATAGGGTGGATTCCAGGAAGAAGTAACTGGACTCAAGGAAGAAATAACCGAGCTCGAGGAAGCACCCGAGCTCAAGAGTGAAGTAACCAAACTTGAGGATGTGACGGAACTTGAGGAAGTGACGGAACTTGAGGAAGTGACGGAACTCGAGGGGAACTTGACCAAGTTCAAGGAGAAAGCCATCGAGCCCAAGACGGAAGTGACTGATCTTAAGGGGGAACAGATCAACCTTGAGGAGAAAGTGACGGAGCTGCGGAAAGGTCATGGTGGAAACATCACGGGTCAGTTTAGTCACTTGATGATCAAATCAATGCTCCCGAGAGATCTGAATTTGAAGCGAAAGGAACACGAAAGAACTCCTTCCAGCAAGCAGAAAAAGAGAAGGATGGGCTAGGCTATTCCGAGATCACAGTAAGCACCAGGCAGACCATAAGGCCCGAGCTGGTCGGACAAAGGCCTGTTGGCGATTAAGCTCATGTTGATGGTATGTATAAAACGAGTTGCAGTGTAAACCTGACATTCACGAGATATATAATATAGAAAGGATGTGACATGCAGCGAGTCTTGCGGGGGACACATCCCTTCCTCTCCAGCTTGCGGGGGGACGTCTCCCCGTCTATGCGCGGGTTGCATGCCCCGATCACTCATGTTCCGCTGACACGCTTAGAGCATGCATGCCAATGCAGCCACCAATTATGTCCTTTCAGATGGAAGTTGCAAGTACATTACTCTACTTGACTAGTTGCATCTAGTGGCTGTAGTGGAACAGCCACGCAAGCACGCATAGCCATGGCGGTGGACCGCTTCATGGATCGTCATGTCCCTAGCAATTTTAGGCGTAATTGTTTTTTCAAGCCTCTGGGTACCCTGCTTCTCCTATTTTCTTGTAGTTGCCAATCCCCTGATGCATATTCCAAGTGACGACTTCGGGACGTTGTCATGGCTTGAGCCGTTACGCTGCATCCACAACTTGGCTATGAATGGATGCGTGATATAAAACCAGATTCATAATGTTAACTTTCTCTTTTTTACCACCCATCAACGGCTCTAATTCAACTTTTCATTCAACCTTCCTTAACAGAAACGCAACGATGAACCTACCGTACTACCCACAGTCTCAAAGCTCAGATTCTCGTACTTCAACCCCCAATTCTTTTGTGTGGAATACGGAAACGGAATCGAGAGGCAACTGGTCCACCTTACCTTCCGTTCAACCTTTCCTTGACAGAAACGCAATGATGAGCGTACCGTACTACCTACAGCCTCAAAACTTAGAGCCTCGTACTCCAACCCCCGATTATTGTGTGGGGAATATGGAAACGGAATCGATTGGCGACCGTTTCACTTACACTTCCATAAACACATCATCAGCATCAAACATGAGCGCAACACTCTGCTCAGCGTAAGTGAATGGAATTGCATTTAGTTTCAGACGAATCACTCACTTGTTAGGGTCTCCAATGATCCCATAGCCAACCACAATCAGCATGGGGACTCGGGTGCAAGGTCAAGCACTGTTCGTCCAGCAAAATCTGGCGTTTGTCCACACTGCAAGAAAACGATCGATTCCCGCAATATGGCAAGACATATAAAGGCTGAACTTCGCACGAATGTGTGCTGGGATCACGGGTGCAACGGAGTTAAATTTACAAGCTTGCGTAGCCTTAAGAGGCACAACGAGAGAAAAAGTGGCATTACATACCCTTGTCCAAACTGCACGAAACCGTTTACGCGGAAGGATAATCGGGACGTACATACAAGAACGTGCAAGGGGCAGTGAAGAGCAAAAGCCGGAAAGTGAATGGTATATGGAGAGTTCGGGGCCGATCTCCGAGATAATGAGATGGGCATCGGGTGGCGAGGTTAATATAAATCTTCCAAGTGCCTCGGGTGATAGTCGGGCAAGAGGCAGGACTTTGAAACGAAGGCATAGCATAATAGGGTAAAGCAGTGCGGAAGTCTTGATTGAAATTAATTAAAACGAACATTGAAAAGCAGTTCAACAAAACAAAGTAAGGTTCTCAAAGCGAAATATTTCCATCCATTGCTAAGTCATTCCAGTCCATATCCGGCGAGCAACATATGCACCACGTTCTATACAACACGTCAATCTCAATCGTCGGATGACAACCTGGTTCTTAGACTCAAATCGCAGCATGGAACCCACCCCGCCATGTCGTTCCTTGCTTCAGTGTTCAGAAGGGAACCGCATGTTCCCAATATTGATGAAGCATGCGGGTGGCTTCTCTTTTCACCATTTTGCTTCCTATTGCGGCGAATGCTGCACCTCTCACCATCACGAACCCCTGGCGGTAATGTAGTTTTGTTGAGACCCCCTTTTCTTCTCTTTTGTTGCACCAAAAAAGCAACCGATCACTTTTACTTCCCCCGCGGCGATCTGAGCAGCATAAAGATAGATGAAGATTTCAGTGTTTATGGGTCTTCAGGACGTCGATTGCGAACCAAGGGCTTGGCAGATTGTAATTCTGGACAAAGACAAGAACCCTACCAGAGGAATAACACTTACATCCGACCAAGTTGCTGAATTGGATGCATCAAGAGCGGGAACACAATATGCTGCCTATCAACCCTCGAGGAGTGTAGTGCTCATGGATATGGCATACGTAAACAGATGTGGAACCTGTGTTAGCTACAACAATATAACCGACATCTGTTCGCACAAATTCACTCTGTGCTTCTCCATTGACTTCTCGGATTGTGGGCACTACTACGCCGTGCTGTATTAAAGACTACAGAAGAGTAGATCAAGTACTGGTAATTAGTACCTTTTCTTCATAATCTCTACACAGATAGTATTAAGAGATACTATTATTTCCCCCTTAATCTCTACCCTGGCAACAAGTGCCTGTGGAAAGCTGTCAAACCAAGCTTCCACCAAAGATTTAGTGTTATCGCGGTAAGGCGTTGTCCATGGCGTGGATTTGAGCCATATTGGAGCAGTTCGAAATGTTAACAACCCATTCAACATCCTTGTGCAGTCCTTGCATGAGCTCCTTTTCTTCTGCTAGTCCTTCCTCAGTAATCACCCCAGAGTGGAGTATGGTAATTCTAATCTTCCGGACCTTCTTGTAGAGTCCCACGCAGCTCCTGATAGTCTGAAAGATTGGGAGGGTTGGCTCTAGCTGAGCTGCCATAATTCCTAGCCTTCCGAGATTTGGCAGCGGGATTCGGAGACTCGTCCGGCCGGACCCGTAGATGATTCCCGTAGTTGAAGATATTTCTGTAGGAACCATATGAAGCAGGTCAAGGATGCCTATGTCTATACGCGCGTCGTACATTGCATTCTGGACCTCCTCTGTGCTTAAGAGAATACCATACTCGTTTTCAGAATTGTCGGAGAACTCATAGCTTGCTAGGAAGCCTTTGCTTGAAGTTCCGGCTGGTTTGAGAGCTTTAAACACCATAGGCGAGAATATCTCCGCGTACACCTGGAATCTGATCTCTCGGGATAGCCCCCTTGACCCATCTTCACCACCCTTCTGAAAGAACAGGGTTGACACTGGTTCGTTGTAGGAAGTGAAGGCGTAGTTCACCGCCGCGTGAGATGCATTGAAAGCTTCCAGATCCCAACGGTAGAAATTGAATCCACAATAAGAGGACACAGTCTCGTTGGCAAATTTGAAGTTCATTGTGAAGAGACGTTTGTCCAAAGCGTAGAAAACATTGCTAAGAACGTATTGAGGCATCTCGTCGCCCTGGAGTTGATATGGCCAGCTGCATTCTGGTTTAACTGCATCTCGCACAGTCTTGGTGTCGAATACTAAAGCAAAAGCAACTCTGTCGTCATGTGCGGCGCATTGAATCAAGTCGACAATCATAATCTCTTGAGGCGGACTCTCCTCAAAGATATCCTCCAAGTGATAGACAGATCCTATTCGGATCCGATCTATTACTGTACGCTGCGGGTGTCTGAGAAAACAATTCTTTCTAAAGGACGATTTCTCAAGCGAAAAGCCATTGCTAGGTAGATTAATCTTGGCAGCGCTCGCTTTCTCATTTTTGCTAATAAATGAGTCAAAGGCCCTAACTTTCTCTGAGATCTCCTTCCTGCAGTCGACCTTGGAGGCATCGTTTTGGTGGGTAGGGAGCATGTGTAGAGATGGAGGAAGCTGTATAATTTGACAAGGCGGGAAAGATAAGAAAATTGTGTCTCTCGTTTAGCTTTCCGTGAAAATTCTTTTTGGCCCGGTATTTATTTCGTTCCCTAGCCGCCTTGTGTAACACTGAGTACAGCTAGGGTTTAAGTAGAGTATGACGCTGGCATCTGAGCAAAGTCGTAGGAAAGCGGGTTTTGAATATTCGGAAACTAAGCTCGAGCAGGACGATCGGTGGACAAGTGATTGAAACTTTGTTGGATAAGACCATGGCCTTACGCGACGCCACCCTTCTGGGCATCGTAAAGACGTGGATGGTAGGTGCTTTGAAGCCTATCTCCTCGGCAGCGTCCCAAATCTCGATCTTCTTCAAATTTCACGGCACTTGATTACATGACTAGTTGGGATGCATTCGATGGAGTCTCACTGCGGTATAAAAAACGCCTTCACAGAGGGAGGCGATGGACAGATCTACATTTGAGGTTATACGACGACATCAAGGAGATATTACGGGAGAGAATAGTAACTAAAGGATACGACAGTTAGTAGTGCACTTATTCTAAGTATCCCTATCCCTATCAATGCGATTGCTCGCGAAGATCGTGCCTTCAGCGTTCAAGTTAACACGGCATGTTCTCTTTGTCCTTACGGAAAGTTAGTTATATCGAACTTTAGTTTTACATCTACTCGACCAGCCTGTATAAAGGCACGCTTCTTAGTAGGCCAAAAATGGAGGAATGATAAAACGAATATTGTGAATGCGGAGAGACCTTCTAATAACTTCCTGCGTATAAGGTGAGTGATTACATCAAGGTAACCAATTCCGTTAAAGACTACATCAAGGGCGAAATACAGCATTAGGACCAACTTAAACTCGCATATAAGAAACACACATGGTAAGCACCTAGAGAAAACAGCATGAAAACCACATGGTGTCCAACAATTAATAGAAAAAAGAGATAAAAAGGTAAAATCCTAAAAGAAGGAACCAAGGTTAAGGACTTACCAGTCGCCAACATGTACTGGTTCATCTTGATGTCTGCAGTCGTGGCTGGCGTATCTCTGGGCTGCTTCCAACGATGGTAATGGACCAGAGACTCTGCGAATTGGCTCACTCGATGCCCTGTCCAGGTTCTCGAGATCGTACGTTGGTCTCGGATCTCGTGATAGTCCCCGTATCGAACGGTGCGGTAGCTGCCCACGACCATCGAACCGATGACCGATCTGATAAGTTTGCTTGAGTAGGCCATTACGATCCCGAGTGCAACACGCTGCATGCTATCGGCGGCAGCTTATACCATGGCGGCGGAAGAAACCCATATCATCAACGGTTAACATCGTTGGCAGTGCATGCACACAATAAAGATTAACAAAGTAAAAAGGCAAGAATGAATGATATTAATGTCAACTACGATGAAAACAGAACGCATAAGACCTGGCGTTGAGGCCAGACAATTGAGCAGTACTGTGATGTTGAGATCAGCGATAAAGCCTGGCGTTGAGGCTAGACAGTTGAGCAGTGTTGTGATGTTGAGATCAGAGAATGACTAATTCTGAAACCCTATTTGTTCATAGCAGGAACGTTGAGAAAACCGTCCATTTCTTTCATCCCATCTATAGCATTGTTGTTAGTGCCGTCAACGGTGTTGTTGGTGTTGTCAAGACTGTTGGTGTTGTTGTCAAGACTGTTGGTGTTGT